AGGATTTCAGGACTTCTTCAAAGCATCCAGGAGGCTTTCAGGAGACTTTCAAGACTTCTTAACAGTCTCCTGGAGGCTTTCAGGACCTCCGGGAGGATTTCAGGACTTCTTCAAAGCATCCAGGAGGCTTTCAGGAGACTTTCAAGGCTTCTGCATAGCCTCCAGGAGACTTTCAGGAGGATTTCAGGACTTCTTCAGAACCTCCAGGAAGCTTTCAGGAGGCTTTCGGGGCTTTTTCAGACCCTCCTGGAGGCTTTAAAGGCTTCTTCAGGGCCTCCAGGAGGCTTTCAGGGTCTCCATGAAGATTTCAGGGTCTTCAGGAAGCTTTCAGGGTCTCCAGGAAGCTTTCAGGGTCTCCAGGATGCTTTCAAGAGGCTTTCAAGGCTTCTTCAAAGCCTCCAGGAGGCCTTCAAGGCTTCTTTAGACCCTCCTGGAGGCTTTAAAGGTTTCTTCAGAGCCTCTTGGGGCTCTCAGTGGCTCCAGGATGCTTTTTGGAGGCTTTGAAGGTTTCTTCAAAGCCTCCAGGAGGCTTTCAAGGCTGCTGCTGAGCCTCCAGGAGACTTTCAGGAGGCTTTCAAGGCTTCTTCAGACCCTCCTGGAGGCTTTCAGGAAGCTTTCAAGGTTTCTTCAAAGCCTCCAGGAGACTTTCAATGCATCCAGGAGGCTTTCAGGGCCTCTAGGATGCTTTCAGGAGGCTTTCAAGGCTTCTTCAGAGCCTCCTGGAGGCTTTCAGGAGGCTTTCAAGGCTCCTGCAGGGCCTCCAGGAGCCTTCCAGGGCCTCTAAAGAGCCTCCAGGAGGCTCTCAGGGCTTCTGTAGAGCCTCCAGGAAGCTTTCAGAGCCTCCAGGATGCTTTCAGGAGGCTTTCAAGGCTCATGCAGGTCCTCCAGGAAGCTTTCAAGGCCTCCAGGATGTTTCAGGGTCTCCAGGAGGCTCTCAGGGTTTCTGCAGAGACTCCATTAGGCTTTCAGGAGGCTTTCAAGGCTCTTTCAAGGCTCTTTCAAGGCTCTTTCAAGGCCTCCAGGAAGCTTTCAGAGCTTCTGTAGAGCCTCCTTGAGGCCTTCAAGGCTTATTCAGAGCATCCAGGAGGCTTCCAGGAGGCTCTCAGGGCTTCTGCTGAGCCTCCTGAAAACTTTCAAGGCCTCCAGGAAGCTTTCAGGAGGCTTTCAAGGCTTCTTAACAGTCTCCTGGAGGCTTTCAGGAGGCCTTGAAGGTCTCCAGGAGGTTCTCAGGGCTTCTGTAGAGCCTCCTTGAGGCTTTCAAGGCTTCTGAAGAGCCTCCAGGCCCCTTTCAGGGCCTCCTGGAGGCCTCCAGGAGGTTTCCAGGAGGCTTCCAGGAGGATTTCAGGACTTCTTCAAAGCATCCAGGAGGCTTTCAGGAGACTTTCAAGGCTTCTTAACAGTCTCCTGGAGGCTTTCAGGACCTCCAGGAGGATTTCAGGACTTCCTCAAAGCTTTCAGGAGACTTTCAAGGCTTCTGCTGAGCCTCCTGGAGGCTTACAGGGTCTCCAGGAGACTTTCAGGGCCTCCCGGAGGCTTCCAGGGCTTCTGTAGAGCCAACTGGAGACTTTCAGGGCCTCTAAAGAGCCTCCAGGAAGCTTTCAAGGCTTCTGCAGAGACTACAGGAGGCTTTCAGGGTCTCCAGGAAGCTTTCAAGCCTCCAGGAGGCTTTCAGGGCTTCTGCCGAGCCTCCTGGAGACTTTCAAGGCTCCTGCAGGGCCTCCAGGAGCTTTCAGGGTTTCCAGGAAGCTTTCAGGGCTAATGTATAGCCTCCAGGAGGCTTTCAGGATCTCCAGGAGGCTTTCAGGGTCTCCATGAAGCTTTCATGGTCTCCAGGATGCTTTCAAGAGGCTTTCAAGGCTTCTTCAAAGCCTCCAGGA